ACTAGAGTCAATAAAACAACTTAGGCTTGGATTTTGTGCAGGGCTGCCATGACTCATGATCTCGGGTGTTCACTGCACAAAGGTGTCCAGCTGAGGGAGAAAAAGAGATTAAAATCCAGCCCTTTCTTTATGGGCCAAAAATGAGGAACTGCAAATACCTAGAGGAAAAGACATGATTTTCTAACGAGAAAGTCATCATTTGGGCTGGCATTAGCCCTGCAATCACCTTACAGTTATGAAGTTTTTCCACATGGGTGTCTCATTAGATGTTCTCAACTCCATAAGCAATATGGATGAGGGACACACTTTAATCCACGAAAGTTAAATGGCCTTGCTCAAGGTTACAAAGCAAATAAAGTGCCAGGGCCTAGACCTCTGCTTCCTTCTCCTCCCTGTCTTTTTTTTTTTTTTTGCAGTACTGGGATTTGAACTCAGGGCTTTGTCTTGCTAAGTCAGTGCTCTACCACTTGAGACACACACACACACATACACACACACACACACACACACACACACACACACACACACACACACCAGCCCTTTTTGCTTTAGTTATTTTTTGAACAGCATCTCAAGTTTTTGCCAGGGGCTAGCCTTAGACCAAGATCTTCCTGCCTATGCCTCCCCAGGAGCTGGGATCACAGACATGGACCACCATGCCTGGCTTGTTGGTTGAAATGGGATGTCTCTAACTTTTTGACCAGGCTGGCTTTGAAACTTGCTCCTCCTGGGATTACAGGCGCTCCCTGTGTCTTGCTGGTCATGTGATTTCTGAAGGCCATCTTCATCCAGTCAAGAGTCCTCCCCCTCTCCACGGGAATCAGCCCTGATGTCTCCAAAGTGGACAGAACTTGGGCGTTGAAGGAGGAGAGTGCTTTAACACTGCGGCCCCTTGCCCCGCTGCACATCTCACCACAGCTAATGAATTGCTAATACAATTTTCTAGATAATTTTATTTCCATAGCCCCACATTTTAATGTATTTCCAAAAGCTAGCATTTATTTGCTTAATCTCCCAGTGTAATAGAATCAGCCCTGACTCATCATACATGCAAACAAGCAGCTAGGCAGAAACGACAGCAAATTGTTTAATAACTCAAATCTAGTCTCTAGATTTTTAAGTTGCATGCACCAATAGCTTTTCTTGTGTCTCATCCACTCCTCCCCCACCCTTCCCTGTTTTTCCTTTTTAAAAAAAATCCTTTCCCACCATCATGACTATTTGTTTCCAAGCAGAAGAATGGGGGGAGTAGATATAGAGTCTCCAAGCCCCCTTCTAGTCCCCTCTGAGCCTTGATTGGTGAATAAATAGTGAGGGAGAGTCTTTGTGCCTTGTTTGGTGTCTCAAGAAGGGGTAAGAGAAAGCTGGAGTGACATTATAGCATTTCTTTTCCAGCTAGTGACCACATAATCTTAATCTGTCGGCAGCTGACTGGCTGGGGCTTCTTGGGTACCACTCTTCCCTACTAGAGCCCTGGCCTAGGTCCTAGTATGCAGGACCTCTCCTCCTGTCCTCAAAATTCCTGCCCTTGTCTGGTCCCTGCCCTCCTCCAGTGGTGGCACAAGAGCCATCAGCTCTGGCTGCTTCAAACCACTCTCCACTGCATTTGCTTCTGGGTTGTGCACTGTGCACAGACACACTGCCCCCAGACATGCCATAGCACGCTCGTACCTGTCAGTTTGAGTTACTGTAACACATTATCATAGACCAGGTAATTTATAACAGAGCTTTGTTCCTCACAGACCTAGGGGCTGGGCAGTCTGAGATCAGGGTATGTATGACAGGGTTCTGGTGAGGGCCCACTTCCTAGCTGCAGAAGGAACTGACCAGATTGGGCTCATTCATGGTGGTATGACCATAGTCCAGACTGCTGACTTCTGGTGATGTCCTCCTATGGTAAAAAATGATAGCTAGTGCTCTGGTGTTCTCTTTATAAGGGCACTAATCCCATTAATGAGGTCTCCATCCTCATGAGCTAACACCTCCCAAAGTCTCCATTTCCTAATAACATCACCTTGAGGGTTAGGATTTCAACACATGCATTTTGAGGGGGATACAAGCATACAAACCATAGCAAGCCCCAGGTCTTTCATGGCCCTATAGAATGACATCTGAGCTGACCTAGCTGGCATATGTGGTCCTCCATCATCTGACCACCAGTTTCCCTGACTTTTCTCTACCCCCAGGGCCTGCCGTCTCTGCCACCTGCTCTGAAATCTGCTTGCAGTGTTTCTTTAGCCTGGCATGAGTGCCCTGCCTTCCTATGCTTGTCTTCTCAGATTGAATTTCTCTTCAAAATCTCCTCTGAAGCCTTCTTGGGGTTGTCTTATCTGTCATCTGGATGGTGTTGACTTACCAGTGTCTCTCCTGGTGTGGGACCAAAATTCTCTGCCCAATTTCAGCTTCATGATGGTCACCTAGCATGGTGCTGACACTTGGTAAATGGCTCAGTGAGCCAGAATAATGGACATGAGGTGGTTTCAGGCCACTCTGAGATCTAGTGATACTCCTGCTGCAGGAGTCTCAGTCTGCACTGTTGGGTGGTACCAGGCCATGGATCATCTCTGGGTTGGCTTTGTAGACCTGGACTGTCCCATTGGGGGTACCATCCATGTACCCTGGATCTCCATGCAAAGGATCTCAATAGAAGCATCATAAGAGAAGCCTTGCCTCAAAAAGGGCTTGGCTTGCCCTGGAAGCCTGCTCCCTCTTACTGATTTAAGGCAGCTGTTTGCACACCTGGCCTAATCAGGGCTTTCTGTGAGGTGGGGCGAAGGGCAGAGAGGCACTGGTGCTGGGAAACTTTAGGTTGAAGCAGCAGAGGCTGCTGGGTTGCAGAAGATGTTGCACACAGACACCACTCCTGTGCATGTTGGCCAGACTGGACTGGGATCGAGAGACTCACTGCCAGCCCTTGGCACTGCGTTCACTCTGGCAAATCCTCTCCATCAAGTGGAGCTGAGCACTCTTGATACTTTTCAGAGAGCTGTACCTTGTGACTGGCTCTTCCTAGCCCAGTGTTCTCCAGCCAATGCTGGAGTGAGTCCTGGATGTATTGGTGCTTACTTCTTACTGCTATTATTAACCCCTTTGGAGTAAGCTCAGACAGACAAGTGTTCATCCCGAAGATAAAATTGGGCCCAGACCCATGGTTTATAAAATCAAACAGGCCAAGGTTTTTCTAGACCCGAACTTTACCTCTTTCTCACTGTGTGACTGTAGGCAAGTTATTTGATCTCTGTTTTCCCATTTGCAGAAAAGGGGGATTAGAATCCCTGCCGTGTGGAGATGCAAGTTTTAAATGAGATGACAACACATTCATCAGCACCAAGCACAATGCCTATGTTAGGTCCCTTCCCTTCTGTTCTTAGAGGGCCAGGAGCAAAATTGCCTGCTTGTATTCATACCCCTGTTCTGCCCTCCTGACTGCTGGTAGGATGGAGCACAGCTGCAGGTGCCTAGACTTCAGTGTCTGCAAAAGAAGCCCCCTAACCCGCCTCAGGTGTGAAGGGGAAGAGAGTAGAGGGCTCTGAGAGGCAGTCCCTGCCTTCCCACTAGTCCATCCCAAACCCAGTCATGAATGGGACCAAAGTGACAGGAACCAGACCTCCCATTTGTTTTCTCCATTGTTGGGCCAGGAAAGCAACAAAATTCTTCATGTCATCCCCAGCAACAAAATTCTTCATGTCATCCCCACCTGCCACTAAAAGCTCCCTGATTCCACTGAGCAACACACATCTTCCAGCAGCCAAAGCTTTGGCTGTCCATCCACTTTGGGCTGAGTTGACAGGCGCTAGGCCTGACCACCTTTACTGCTTGTGTCCCTCACACAGGAGATGGTGCTGAGCATAGATGTCAACCAGATGCCGGCAGAGAGATGGGCAGATCGGCTTACAGGGAGAGCTCATGTAACATGGGGAAACAGAATCCAACATGGCGGGCAATGAGCTACCGGTTAGGGCTCAGATACTGTTCGGTTAGACATTTGACCGAACGACTGGCTCCAGAGCAGCATTAGGAAGGGGTTGCTGACAAAAGGAAAATGACAGCCTGTCTCTCGGGGGTACTGTGTAGTACCTGTGCTATGAAATCAGCACAGGGGATGACAGAACTAAATGAAAATCTCATGTCACTCACTAGCTACATGGTTTTCAAGACCCCACGTGACCTGTCTCCCCACCTTCCTCTCTAGCCTCCTTCTAAACCTGTCCCTGCTTCCCTAGCTGCATCGTCCCTCTGTCTTATCCTCTGCCCCACACAGTTCCTTCCATTATCATACAGCCAGTGCCAAAAAGAGTGGCACTTCCTACATGGAAGAGCATCTTCTGATGTGGGGGAAGATAACACAATACTACTTGTTGAACAAAGGGACTTTTAAATTAATGCTTTAACCAATGGAAAAGTGGTTAAAAGAATAGAGCCTATAGTTAGCCTCAGGAAAGGATTCAAATCCAGGCTTCCATCATAGCTATAGCTTATGAACTCCATGGAACTTTGGATAAGTTACTCAGCCTCTCCCTCAGTTTCTCCATCTGAAGGGTGAGGATAGTAGAGCCTGCCTTTTGGAGTTGTGATTTTACATTAGTCACATTAGAACAATGGCTGGCCCCTATGATCTTCATTACTGGCTCTCACAGAGCCTCCCCTGCCTGCCCCCACAGTTGCCCTAGGTACCATAAAGTCCTGCTGATTCTTGCCCTTGTCCCCTGCCTTCTCCTCCATTATGCCCAACACACTTGCTGTAACCATGTATATGATTAATGTTTGTTTTTCCCCACTAGTCTTTAGGTCACACCCCAGTAGGACATCTGTGGATTTTGTCCTCTGGAGCCACAAAACGGGTTGCTCAATCAACATTGCGTGATCTGCACTGCCTCTGGATTTGCCCTTGAGCGTGGGGTTTGGGGGTGCTGGTCTCGTGCTGGCTCCTACTGTGATAAAGACCTGGCCTTGTATTTCCAGCCTTCTGACTTTGTTCTCATTGCTGTTATCCCCCATAGGCACAGACATGGCTGTCTTCTGTCTGCTGTGTGGGAAGCGCTTCCAGGCACAGAGCGCACTCCAGCAGCACATGGAGGTCCACGCAGGCGTGCGCAGCTACATCTGCAGCGAGTGCAACCGTACCTTCCCCAGCCACACGGCCCTCAAACGCCACCTGCGCTCACACACAGGTAGGCCAGTCCAGGTGACAGGTGGGTCAGGGCTTCTGGGAGCCCACATCTAGACTTACCTCCAAAGACACAGAGTGGAGGTGCCAGACTGAGGCACCTTTTGCCTTTCTCTATTGCAAGATTGGACACACAGGAGCTTCCTGTCATTGGTAGTTCTCCCATCAGTTCTCTCTCTTTTCATGCTCACCATAAAGGATGTTCACTAAGAGGGCAGATTCTTGAGTTCCATGCTTAGAAACTCTGATTCAGTGGTCCAAGATGGAATTCAAAATTCAGCATCAGTAATAAGAATTCCCAAGGGATTCTGATGCAGGGAGAACAAAGTGCATTCTGAGAACAACTGACCTGTTGTGTTTCCAACTCCTCTCCACAGCCCCACAACTCTCGCTGCCCCCACTCCACCCACATATAATACCAAGTGAGCTTCGGGCTCTTGAGGGCACATTAAGGAAAGTTGTCCTATAATCCTAACTACTCAGAAATAAGTAAGAGGATCATGGGGCCAAGAGAGCCTTAGGCAAAAGTGACTCTATTGAAAAGCAAAATTAAGCAAAAAGGGTTAAGGGAAGTAAGTGGCTCAAGTAGGAGATTGCTTGCTAGATGCCCAGAGTTCAAACCCTAGTACCATCAAAAAACCCCCCAAAAATCATCCTACTTTCACCATAGGCCTCTACTTTGGCTGTGGTGTTGTTGGGGAACACAGGAGGGTATTTAAACAATAAGCTGTGGGACATCCCTGCCCTGCCAGTTCCACATGATGGGGTGAGAGGCAGAGTGTAAGTCAAAGGGGCTGGGCCAGGTGCCCAGGTACTGACCCATCCTGCCAACACTTTCTAGATTTGGGGGATAGGACACTTGGAATGAGGGTCATGAGACATTGCTTGTCTGTAGCAGCCCTTGGTCTTTCCCTAGTAGGGGAACAGATGACCTAAATTCCTTCTTTTTCCTAAAATAGGATGGGGTCTTCTCTGACTGTACCTGAGTAAAACAATGTCCTTTTTGAGTCTGTGTATGTCTCTGTGTGCCATCTGTCCTGGTTTGAGAAAGGAGGGCTGTGGTCAGGTCTCTGTCTGGGCATGCAGTTGAGTGTATACTCATTCCTATTGCAGAGGGTACAAAAATTCTGTGTGCTTTACAGAGAGATGAAAAGACCCTTTTCATTCTTCATAGTCTTGTCACAGCTCAAGGATTGAGTATGAGGCCTTACATGGGTGACACGATCTGCTGAGTGAGAAAAAGACTCTACTCCCATGGACTGGCCTATTCTGCCAGCAGTGGGCATCCTCACCAAACAGCCTGCCTGGGCTCTTGCTTCTGGATGCTGTTCTTTTCAGAGGAGCATCTTGAGTTTGCTTCAGCAGATGCGAACTGATCACCAGGTGCTTAGAACTACCTAGGATTGCTGGAAGAGAAGTGAGAGGGTCCCAGAGGATAGGGTCCAGCAAGGAAGGGCCAAGGAGGAAGGGATACAGAGGAGGACTTTCTCTACAGTGATTGCATAAGATCTGTCTGCAGCTGTGTGTACCTTCCTACCAATGTCTCCCTCAATGGGTCCCCTGTTCAGCCTTATGAAAGATGGCCAGTCACCTTTCAGCCACTTCTGAGTATGCCACTGGTTCATGTGACTTGAATGATTCCAGCCCTACTAAGTCCACTCAGCACACACCTTGCTTTGCCCATGCCCCTTTCTAAGAGCTCGGACATCCAAATGTCAGTACTGCTTTGCCCCATGATAAACATGGCTTAGGTGTGTGGAAAAGGACAGAGTTTGGGAGACGCTCTTGCTTATTCTAGGAAACACAGAACGTGTGTACAGCCTATGTACAAGCACAAATACCCACCGATTTCCACAGCAGGCCTGTACAGGCTCTTCACACCCCCCACACAACGCCTCATTAATATTCTGTGGTTCTTGGCCCATTTGCCACTGGGGCCGGGTGTTTAGTGTCGGCAGCTGTGTTTGGTAGGTTTGTCCAGCCGTGCTCTTGGCATTGATGGATCCCTGATTCACACGGCTCATCATATAATAAGCCCTCAGCTGTGCTGAAGGAGGTACCGGAGGGGCTGGAGCTAGGGTGGGGAAGGCAGTGACACTGGGCTTGCCGGAGCCAGGCAAGCCACCAGGTAATGACAAACTGGGGAAGGAGGGGGGTCACAGGTGCACTGGGCAGGCCAGAGGGGCTCTAATTAGTCTCGTTTGTCCTGCACTTAATGTCAAGCTCATTAACGAGTCTACAGAGTTAATCAACATACCACAAATTGGATTTTGAGTCCTGCCGCCAGTTTTGTGTACACTATGGCCATGCTGACACAGTTAGCTCTCGGGGCTAGAGTTGCTGGCTGTGTGCTCATCAGGCTACAAAATGTGGGTGGGTGGGTGTGTGTCTTGATGACTTGTCTTTTTTTTTAATTTCAAAGTTCTTTTTAGTTCTTTCCCTAGGCGGACTCAAGAGAGTTCCTATTTAAACTCATTTTACATGTGATCCGCTTCATAATTAAATTCATAAAAATCTGATCAAACAAGCCCCTCTGTTGTTTGTTAAACTCTTAGGGCCCCCTCTGGAGGTGAAAGTCACACACAGACAGTCATCTCCCCTCTCCGCCTCCCCCGGGCAGGGTGGCTGCCGATGTATGTTTTAATTACTGGCTCTGGCTGAAGTCTCATGTGGCCCTTGCTTTATTTATTTATTTATATCTTAATGAGGATACTGAATCTTTGATTAAAGTCGTAATCGTTGCCGATCCTGCAAGGAGGGGGAATTGAATGTCAGACCAGACGGGGCCACGTGTGCAGACACAGAGAGACACAGAGTAGGTGGCGTGCAGACACCGCCCCCCCCTCCCCCCGACACACACACAGACACTGACCCTCACTTAGACAATTAGTGCCAGGGTTGGCATGGGCCAGGCTTTCCTTGGGTTTGATGGGGCTGGGGAATAAGTACTCCCTTTAGCCCTGGCAAGGGAAGGATAGGCGGGAACTCCAGGATTCGGTCCAACCCTGAACTGCATGCAAGGGACTCACTGGCCAGAGCTGTGGCCTGTGGATTGGTATGAACTGGAAGGAGAAATGGCCATGTTCTTCCTCCAAGGAGGTGCTGCCACCCCCCTTTATGCCCTCAATGCTTTTTGCAAATCTTCCACCCATGAGAGAGTCAGCCAGTGAACGGACCCCAGCATCCGCTCCCCACAGAGCCTTAAAAACCCTTCAGAGCCATCAGGAGAGATGAGAATTTATGTGGGTACAGGGGCCTGTGTTCAGGAGGGGGGAGCTTTGGTTAGAAGCCTGCGGAGGGGAGAGAGAGAAGAGAGAGTAAAATATCATTTTAAAGAGGAAGTGAAGGCACAGGCATGCGAGTCTATAAGGAGAAGGACAATTTATGCCCAGGCACGAGCACAGTTTGACATGGGGATAATGAAAAAACGTAGGTCATTGTGGATGACTTAAACCTTCAGCAGCTGAAGAAAATGTATGAAATGCAGAGGACATTACACGGTTGGCAGCCCCGCACATCTGCAGAGGGACAAGTGAAATACAGTGGGCCATTCTTTACCATAAACTGTGGTTGTTGGAGATGCAGCCCAGAGAAATTGTAATTACAGTGACAAGACGAATCAGCGATATTTAAATATTCATGAACAAAGTCTGGGGTGATCAATCTATCTTTATTGTCTGCGCCTTCACTCCTGTAATAAATAAGTAGCTGAAGTCCTCACCTTTCCCTCAGACCCCTACTTGGGTACAAAATGCAAGGTGGTTAAACCTATACCCCACTCTCTCACTCTCAGGAGTTTAAGAGTAGAGTGCCCCAAAACATACACAACCAAGGGGTAGATTCCAGACTGAGGAAGGATAAGCTTGACATCCCAGCATTTCCATGGAGTCTGTTTTGAGTCACTCCTGGCTGAGTAGCAGGGCTACAAGGTGGATAAGGCTCAATTCTTACTCTCGAGATGTGTTCATTATAGAGGCGTTGTGGCCATGTCAGTCAATACAATACACACAGTGTGTCATTTAGCAATCTAATGAGTACCCAAGTGTCCAGGCTCTGGAACTGGACCAGACCTTGCATCCCAGCTTAGCTACTTACTAGCTTGTGACCTTGGGGACAAAGCTTAACCATCTCTAAGGAAGTCATTTTTCTCCTCTGAAGAAAGAATATCTTTCAGGTGTTTGCCATCATTATTACATAACCTATGTGAAATAAGCACTTAGCAATATGGACAACTTTATGGGAAAGTACCTGAAGAATTGTACCAATAAAGGACCAAAATGTTGGATATTGTTTTCTCTTTAGGGACAGAGAAGAAAATGTGACTTACTCAGCCTGGGGAACTAAAGGATAGCTTCCAAATAAAGGTGATGCTTGAACTGGGCTTGGAAGGATGACTAGGAGTTCACTGAGGAGAGATGAGGAAATCGAGCAGAGGGAACAGCTGAGTGTAAACAATGGAGAAAGGAAACAAGCAGAAAGTATTTGGGGGACAATGAGTTCTCCAAGTTGGAGGGATTTTTTGAGGGTGCAAAAGTCTGGTTGAAGTGGTGCATGCCCCTGACCCAGAAGAAAGCCAGAAGAGGCAGAATGAGAAGGGGAGGGTGGCAAGGTCTCAAAACCCTCAGGTCTGCCCTGCCCTCCCGGGAGACTGCTTTCTGAGAACCGCTGTCGCTAAGCCAAATGGGATTAGCAGCTGCTCCGTGGATGACCACAGGGCTGCAGTGAAGTATGGACGTGTGAATGCATGTGCTAGCTGTTTATGATATGGAGACTGGCAGAGGCTGTGGATCCTGAAGTCATCCTTGGAGGTGACAGCCTCACACTCCTGGTATACCAAATGTGCCCTGCTGTCCCCTGAAGACGGGACAGGGCCTGATCCAACCCCTTGTCTCCCTAGGTGACCACCCATACGAGTGTGAGTTCTGTGGCAGCTGCTTCCGGGATGAGAGCACACTCAAGAGCCACAAGCGCATCCACACGGGGGAGAAGCCCTATGAGTGCAATGGATGTGGCAAGAAATTCAGCCTTAAGCACCAGCTGGAGACGCACTACAGGGTGCACACAGGTACCCAGGGCCAGGGCAGGGGAGACCTGGGTGGGAGTGTGCAGCAGATACTTATTTCCTCGGAGAAACCCAAGAGAGGATGGTCCAAGGCTGAACCAGGGAGAAGATATTCTATGAAGGGTTAGTATGGTGACCTGATTTGATGACCCAAATCTCAAGGCCAAGGCAGACATCACTGATCAATCACAACACACTGTCCCATGAGCCCAGGTCAGCCCCCAAGGCAGCCACACCAATAAATAGCTCAGGGACGCTGTGCAAAATGATGTTGATTCTTGATTCCTGAATTAGAGTTGAGTTGACCAGATTAGTGGAAAGTGAAGATTAGGGATGTCTCATGTTGCTTGGGAGTTGGAGAAGAATAGTAATGCGTTGAATTAGGTTATGAGGGAAAATTGTGAAGTTAAATCAAGTTCAGTTCTGAGATTAGAGGAGCAGATGTATTTAATAATCTCTCCGTGTGTATGACGTTCTCCATTTCAAAGTGCCTTCACATTCTTTTTTATATAAAAGAAATGTGAGCAGCTGTTTTCCCTGAGGTCTGAGGACAGGCAGATGGATGTGGTCCAGACTTCCAGAAGTTCCTGAGTTCGGGGCAGTGGGGTCCTGAAGCCAGCCTCTACTTGCTTGTGAAAGCCTATTTCTTCCGAATTTCAAGTTCAATGACATCACCTTGGTTGTTTAAAATCAGCTCTGTTGGGAGCATAGCAATAGAGTTACGTATTTTTGGCTAGTCGGTTGTTAAATACTTACCACCAGCACGTTGCCAGTTGGAGGGAAGGTAGATATTCAGAAGGATTCTGAAGGCAAGATTTCCTCTTAGAATGAGAACTATTAGAATCGCCAGCTAGGAAGGCTTCTCTCACCAAGGGAGATAATGCTCTCTCCAGAGGAGGGAATAGAGTTGACCTCAGGTCCTGTTGGCTTCAGGGAGAGGATGGTGCTGTGGTGGGGAGGGGTGGCCAGAGGGAGTGGGAGGCAGAGCTCCCAGTTTTGTTTCCCTGTCTCCAGCTGGGAGCCACAGGGGAGGATGGGTGCTCGTTGCTGACAACTTGAGTGACCCAGAGGGTTTCCCAGAGTCCTGGGGTTTCCTTAGCCCCTTGTTGGGGATGTGACCTGGCAGGCAGATCATTAAAAGCATTGGCAGTGACTATTGTAAATAGCTGGTCGATAGTTAGATCACTTTGGCTGTTCATTACTTCATTATTTGCTGGGGTCTCTGCACGGAGAAGTATTGATAGTGAGATGGCTGGCCAGTTAATTACTGTATTGAAACAAGGTTCCCTTACATCCTCTACTCAGCCTCAGGGCATTATAGTAGAGGGAAGTCGAGGTAGCAGGCTAGAGTGACTTTGCACCCCTAGATTCTCTGCCTCCCCCATTCTAGCCTCAGAGGGGAAGGAAGGGTCCAGAGCTTTCGTAAGATAGCTATCCCTCTTGTGTTTGGAGGACTGGGTTCCTTCCAGCTATGAAAGAACTCCATCCACTCTCCTACTCCCCTGGATGAACTGGGCTATGAAGAACCATTCCCAAGGACTTTCAGGGCCTTACTGTCCCCTTTCAAGACACACATTTCTTTAATTGGAAGGAATGAGTCCTGCACTTTGGGAGAGCTCAGAATAGCAAGAGAAGGGTCTGCACTGTGCTAACAGCCCTGTAGTCCCTTGCCACTTGTACTATTTACATTGGTCACAATAAAGCAAAAAGGGTAGGGCTCCAGTTGCACTGGCCACATCACAATGACCAGCGGTTGCCACATTGAACGATGCCTCCATCGTTTTAGGAAGCTCTGTTTAGAGAGTGCTGTCCTAGAGGGACTGAGATTCTCTCAGGCCCGCTGGGAAGCATGTGGCCCCTGTGGTCTTCTGCCTCTGTCCTTACTCTCTCCTGTCCTGTCTTAACCCCTTTCACAGGTGAAAAGCCCTTTGAGTGCAAGCTTTGCCACCAGCGTTCCCGGGACTACTCGGCCATGATCAAGCACCTGAGAACACACAATGGCGCCTCGCCCTACCAGTGCACCATCTGCACGGAATACTGCCCCAGCCTCTCATCCATGCAGAAGCACATGAAGGGTCACAAGCCAGAGGAGATCCCACCTGACTGGAGGATAGAGAAGACTTACCTCTACCTGTGCTATGTGTGAAGGGGGTCCCCCGTGCATTGGAGCAGCATGGGAGCCAGAAAAGAAATGAAGATGGGGAAGAACTTTGCAAAGAAAAAAAAAAAAAGGAAAAAAGAAAAGAAAAAGAAAGAGAGAGAATGGAAAGGAAACTTCATAGCTATTTGGCCCTGGGGCTCCAGGTGACCTGGATGCCAAGCCACTGCCCCTTCCCGGGGACCTCTACCTTCCTTGATTTTTCTTGGGTGGGTGGAGGTGGTTTTGTTCACCCACATGGTGGCATATTTTTCTCCTCCCTCTACCCAGACCCTCCTTTTGTGTCCAGAAATGGAGGCTAGGAAGCAGACGAGGACTGTAGTCAAAGCCACAGTCTCTGCCTGCTCTCCTCTCCTTGCCTCCTCAGAAGATGGAGGGAGGGGATCAGAGAGAGGGCTGCAGATGATGGGGGTCTCTGGTTGATGCTTAAAATGGCAGCTCTGGTTTGCTAGGGGAAAATTGGGGAGGGGAAGAACTCTTTCTCTTCCCACCACTTGGTTCATCCATTGCTTTCTCTGCCCTGCCACATTGGGTTCCGCTTAGGGTTTCCGAAAACCTTGTGGTTCTTTCCCTCCCTTGCCCCTGCTTGACTGCTGTCCTCCAGGTCCCAGGGAGTTCGCATTCCTCTTGGATCTGGGTGGTATTTCCTCTTCTGGTTCCTCATGGGGAAAGCTGCATCTGACTCCAGAGTCCCTTCCTTCCCTTAGCTTTCTGAGAACACAGAACATGATAAATCATACTCCCCACCCTGGTCACCCCAGTCACGAGCAAGATTCCTGCTGAGCTGCTTTTGCTTCCAAAAATGGAAAAGCATATGAACTAAATATATTATATCCCATCAACCAACCACACACACGCATGGCCCTACAAACTCATTTCAGACCCTAGGGGAAGGAATCCCATTGTTCCATTGAAAGGGCCCATTGTCCAAGGGAAGGAGTGGATGACCTCCTCCAGAAGGGTCCATACCTGCAGGAGGGAACAGACACCCTGCCCAGGGTGGGGGACTGGCCAGGAGAGGAAGTGGCTGTCCTACTGGGGGACCTTTTAAGCACAGAACATGGGGACCCCAGGCCCAGTGAGTTCAGTGGGAAAACTCGGGTCCAGAGAGTAGCACAGAATTCCTCAAAGGGCCCTGAGTCCACAGAGAAGAGGAAAAGGGGGAGGAGGAGCTGAAAGCGCTTTGGCCTTGCGTTCTGTTTTGCTTCTTTTCTATGTTCCCTGTTAGTACATTGTACTTGAATTACCTCAGTTTTTTTGTGACCTCATGAGCTTTATTAACCCCTGTATCTCTTTTTTGGTTGGGGGTTGGAGGAATGGGGAGGGTGTTCTTTTCTGTTCTTGTGTAAATTAATAGTTGGCTTTAGACTTCAGCTGGCCACGGCCCTCCCTAGCCCCTGGCTAGCAGCCTCAAAGCTGAAAGCTGTATACAGAAGGAGATGAGTGCTCAGGGTCTGAATAGGAGGGGCCAGGAGGACAGAGAAAGTGGGTGGGTGGAGGGCCTGGTGATTGGGGGTCTTACTGTCCCCACGGGGCACTCAGGAGTCACTGTCAACTCTGCCTGAGGGCTCAAATCATCTGTGTCCAGCATCTGTTCAGCCTGAAAAACTCTGAAGAAAAATCCCACTGTTGTTAGAATTTGCTGGGCCCTTTTAGGCTTGATGGGGGTCTTTATCATTGAGATCCTTGCACCGATGTGGTCCCCTGTGTGTAATACCGTCATTGCCAAAATTGGTATATTTTCATGGTAGGTGTGTGGGGGGGTGGGGGGGTGACTCAGCCTCAGTTTTGTTGTGTTGGGTGGGGTGTTGTTTCTCTAAGAGCTACCTCTTATGTTCGTCCAATTATTCTTTTGTTCTCTCCTACCTCCCCTCTGCTGCTCTGCCTCCCCTCTTTCCCCAGCCTCCCCACCCTGTTATTTGGAAAGCACATTTGCAATATTCGCATTTGCTTTGGGATGGGCTCTCTGTTTCATCTCATGCTTTATGTGTAAGAGTTTCTTTGTGTGTGTGAGAGAGAGCTTGTTTTATTCTTTCTTTTCTCTCTCTGAGAAAGCTGTGGCTGTGTTTTGATCTTAGGTTTTAAACAGTGGTTTTCGGGAAGCAGTTTTGGGGAGAAGGGTTGCGAGGAATACAGGGGAGGCCTGAGGGATGGGTGCTGCTGTGGCCACCCCCGTCCCTCAGTCCCATCCCTTCTGCCCCATCCCTTCAATCTCATCCACCAAATCTGAAGGCCTTAAAAATTGTGTGTTAGGGGGATGAGGATTGGGGGTACTTGTCACTAGACTGTGGATTAGGGATAATAATGTAAGGACAACTCTATTTTGCAACTATAATAATGACAGTGCTTCGGAAAGGAAAAAAGTTAAACTTGAAATATGTTGATCAGTTGTGTTTATAATGTGAAAAGAGTGAAATCTTTTGGGGGAGGAGCAGTCTATAAGAAATCATTATGCACTATGGCTTCCTCCCCCCATCTGGGAAGAAAGGGAACTCACTGGCCCTCATGGGATCTGTAAATCCCAGAAAACTATATTTTTAACAGCAAGATGTCATTCGACATTGATGGGGAAGGGAAAAAATATCAAACTATTCCATAGACCTAGCTGGCCCCTTGCTCCCCTGCCCTTCCCACTCAGCCCAGTCCCTTACTCATAAAAGCTTGGGAGGGCTGAGCTTATCTTTACAAAGTGTAATATTTTTGTAATATTGTTAGTTCCTTCATCAGTTCTACAGGACCCTGCCCTTTCCTTTTGTAATGTGAATAGGAAGAAAAAAAAAAAAAAGACAAAAAATTCACCATCAACAACAAAGTATCCCTTTGTATGTGTGCGCGTGTGTGTGCTCTGTATGTGCTCGTGTGTTAAACCATGCCGTGTTGTCTAATCTGGTGTTGCAAGCATTGGATGGTACGAATTCAGCACCTGCCTGCCCCGCACATCTGTAAGGGTTCTACAGATCCTAAGAGGTGGGAGGAATAGCCAGACTGAAGGGACACTTTTGTAGTTGCTCTACCCTATCCCCTTGGAACCCCAAACACCCCAATGGACTCCAATTTGTCCCTTCCCCAACTTCCTGCTCTCAAAGACTAAACAGTTCTAAAGTTGCTAAGGCCTCATGGCCACTGGGCAAGTAGAAGCTGTCCAGAGACTTTCCTTAGGTGTGGAGCGCTGGGAGTTTGGAGAGACCAGTAGGGTGGAGGTGGCTCCCACACCAGGTGAGCTCAGTGTATTCACTCCCTTCTTTCTGCCATCTGGCCCCACTGCCTTTAGCCCTTGTCCTGCAGAAACCTGACTTGCTACTGCCTTATCCAGCACACGGAACCTTCTCCAGCCTGGAAAGTCCAAGTTGGTTAATGCTCCTTTTCCCATGTCCAGCTCTCTAAGTGAGTCCCCTGCTGCTTTTGGTGACAGTGACCCCCTCATTCATGTGCCCCTTCCCTAGTCACTCCTTCGCTTATTCAAAGCATTAAAGTCCTATGTGTATATAGGATAGACAAATATATAGAGAGATATATATACCAAGAGAGATATAAAATAGTAAATGTCATTGCTGCTTTGCAGGAGGCCACAAATAGGAGGAAGGCAGATCTGGGGTGCAAGGGTGGGTCCAGAGGCTGGGGGACCTAGAGATTCAGTACAATCCAGGGATGTGACACGGGCTTGACTAATCTTTGTGCCTGAATAGTTTTTCCATGTTGAGGAAAAAGGAAAAAAAAACTGCTGCAGTTTTTCACAAGTGTATGGTACCTTTCTGAACTCTGTAGGTACAACTGCCCTGGGAGGAAAGAGCCAGAGGGCTACCTTCTTAGAGGGAGGCGAGCAAGGGGGTGGGGTGGGAGTGGGGGGCTTTGGACTTGGTCCATGAGGAGAGGTGGGTTGAGGGGGCTTTTAGCCAATTCCCTGGCAAGCCAGACTAAGGTAGAAACTGGAGGCACCAGGATATGTGAGACAGAAAAGCAGAAGAGATGAGGTTCTGTTCATTTATTTTTCCTCAGCTTATCTTACTGTCACCACCCCCTGCCCCGTCCCATCTTGTCTCCTCCTTCCTGGAGCTTCTGCTGACTTGGCTGGAGTGGCTGCACTTACCTGGAAATGTCAGTGGGAGGACAAATAGCCAGACCAACCCTCTGCAGTAGGACAGATGGGTGCAAGAAAAAGGCAGAGATGGCCAAGAGATGGGTGCAGGGCAAACCAGGGAGGTCAGGCCAGGGGAAAGGTGGGGAGAAAGGAATGCCAGCCAGCAGTGCAGCTCCTGTAGCTCCCGAGAGTCCTTGGTGGCCCACTTTGCAGACAGGGTCCCAGCTCCTGGTGTGTATCATAGTATTTGTTCACATAGTGTTATGCATGATCCTCGTAAGGTGAAGAAGCCGTGGTGGTGTACCATGCCATCCGCCCTATATATAAAGATAAATATATATATATGTGTGTAAGTTATAGCACTGAGGGCCCTGGGGCCCTGCTGGACCAAGCAGAACTAAGCCTTTTGGTTTGGGTATTATGTTTTGTTCTGTTCTGATTGTATTTTTGTGGCTTGTCTTACGTCGTGACAGCACAAGTGCCAGTCCGATTGCTCTGTATTACAGAATAGTGTTTTTAATTCATCAATGTTCTAGTTAATGTCTACCTCAGCACCTCCTCTTAGCCTAATTCTAGGAGGTTGCCCAATTTTGTTTCTTCAACTTTAATGATTACTTTTTTGTACAAATCACTCTCAATCTCTCTCCCTTCTCTCTCCTATCTATCTATCCATCATCTATCTATCTACCATCTGTCTATCTATCTATCCATCCATCCTATCTACCACCCATCTATCTATCTATCCACTATCTATCTATCTGTCTACCTATCTAATCTATCTACCATCTATCTACCATCTTATCTATCTATCTATCTCATCTAACTCCCCCTCTTTTTCCCTCCTCTTCCTTTGCTCACTCTTCTCCCCCTCTCCTTGGTCCCCTCTCCTTTTTGTCCCCTCTTTCTATCAACCTTTCTTTACCCTCTCTCTCTTTTTCTCCCCTTCTCCTTGGTCCCTTCCCCTTTTAGTCCCACCCCTTCCTCTTGCCCATCCCCAGTCAAGCGTGCCAGTTCTTTCTGTCCCCCGAAGCAGTCCACTCGAAGTTGTGCAGTCCTGGTTGCAGCTTTCCGCATCTGCCTTCGTTTCGTGTAGATTGATGCGTTTCTTTGTAATTTCAGTGTTTCTGACAAGATTTAAAAGAAAAAAGAAAAAAAGAATTTACTGCTGCAGGTTTTTTTCTCTCTCCATGTGTCACTAAGTGAAGTTTGTGCCTTCTATAGCAAAGAGAATATTTTTTACATCCTACTAACAGTAGATTTTTTTGTAGTGAACATTTTTTGTATTTTTATTTATAAGTCTCATAAGAAAAATAGCAATGTTCAGTTGTATACCTTGAATCTGCAGTTAGAAGAGAATAAAGTTAATTCAGTTGTCTCTGGCTAAAAGTGTCCCTTTTTTTTTTTTTTAAATGCTTTGTCTTTTCTGCTTTCTCTTGGGTGGGGATCATTGTAGGGGAACTGCAATTTCTGTCTGGGTTTGAAGGAAGCAAAAGCTCTGTGTTCAAACATTCAGCCTTTTTGAACTCAGGGCCTCGTGCTTGCTAGGCAGCATTTGAGCCACTCCAGCAGCCCTCCTTGCTACTCAGGAGGCCACACATTCAGCCTTTTTATGTAACACGTGCCACATTTACAAGGCACATGCCTGCCCAGTAACGTACTTATTTAATACTTTTTAGGTTAAGAAGTAATGTTAAGCCTGGCACAGTAGCTCAAGCCTGTAATTCTAACTACTCAGGAAACAGATTGAGAGGATAGCAGTTCAAGGGCAGCCTGGGCAAAAAGTTCACAATACCCCACCTCAATAAAAAAAAAGCTAAGCGTAGTGATGTGCACCTGTCATCCCAGCTACATGGAAAGCATAAATAGGAGGATCACTGCCTAGGCTAGCCTGGGTATAAAGCAAGACCCTATCTCAAAAATAACCAAAGTGAAAAAAGCCTGAGGCTTAAGTGGTAGATAGAGCACCTGCCTAGCAAGTGCTAGGCCCTATGTTCAACTCCCCAGTATAACCAAAACCAAAAAAAAAGAAAGGTACTGTTAAGTACATTGATATCATTTGATCTTCATACAAAATAGTAAAGTAGGCATTTTATTTATTCATTTATTCAACAAGATGGTGGCACCGGTGACTCTTTTCTGCAGTCATTGGAAATACAACAAGGAGCAGGTCACACAGCCGAGGCGTGATGAGCAGAACTCAGGTCCAGATCCGATTCCAAATCAGGTGCATTTTTCCCGGACTCTGGAGGCAGGATTTCCCTTCTAAGTATTTACAGTCATTGTCAGCTTCTTCCCGCCAGCTAAGCAAGTTTCAGAAATGTTGTAACACAAAGCTTCTACCCAATTAAAGGTCCTTGGTTCTATGGCAGCCAAGACCTTTGAGAGAGGAGGTTGGGGTTGGGATGGGAGAGTGACAGGAAGACTTAACTGAGTGGCAGAATGCTTGCCTCACATGTGCAAAGCCCTGGGTTCAAACCCTTTCTCTACTGCAGGGGGAAACACCACCCAGGTCATCTTCAGCTGTTAAACCAGTTCTACTCAGTCTTGGAAACATGGTCAGTACCTCTGCTTCAGGCCAGGGGCTGCCTCTGTCCATCAGCATCGTTTATCCCCTCACAGAGAGCCAGGGACACAAGCCATGTTCTGAGTCCTGGGCATTGCAGTCTGTCTGGCTCTGGGGTTGCTGATCTGAGAAGCAACTGGAGCTACTGCCCCTGACAACTTTCCCAGGAAGAGCCCAGACCCAGGAGGACAGGTTCCCATCCTGCAAAGCTGGGTTCTGTTACTTTCTTCTCTCCCATCTCCTCTCTGCTCTTCTTTCCTTCCTTTTCTCTTTCCTTTCATTTTTTCACCCAGTCTTTCTTCTTCCTCCTCTCCTTCCTCACACCCCATCCCTCATTATTCCTTTGGGTTTTTTTCCTGCCTTTGTGTCCCAGTTTTTTTCTCTCCCCATTTCTCCTCTTGGAAAATGATCTTTGGTCAAAAAGGTATTTGTTTTGATTTGAAGCCGCTGTGTCCCCCGCACTGGGCCCCACCTGCCCCTCCCCCAGCCTCCCCTCCCTCAGGCCTCAGCTTTCTCTTGACAGATGGGAGGGCAGTGAGCACTCCCTCTTTAAAACAACATTTAATCGCCGTTTTCTGTTCTTGGACATCAAAGCTAGGGCTTAGGCACTGCGCTGGGGTCGAGGTGGTGCAGGCTCTGGGGGAGAGGAGGTGAGTGAATAGGGGCTGGCTGAATGGGCTTTGTGTGACCGCCAGGGTCTGCCTGCTTTACATGCTCTTTGACCCAGATATGATCTCATGGAGAGAAAGGGGCCCTGGCCAGGCCAGCCTGAGAACGCTCCTCCATGGCCTGACTCAACCCCCTCCTCCCTCCCTGGGCAGGCGGCCACAGCTGCCCTCTGCCCCGGTG